GCAAACAGAGTAAGAGGGTCTTTGCCATCCCTGGACCTCAGTGCCTAGCATGTGAAGGCACTCAATAGGTGCTTCTTGAATGAGTGAAAGAAGCTGGGCTGCTCCAAAGTCTCCAGGGGCCCCCCCTTACCCATTCAGTACAGCCCAGGCAACCCTCCCCGCACCTTTTAGGCCCTCCCCCATATGCACCAGACTTACTCTTCTTAACTCCTCAAAGCCTCAATGTCCTCACCTGTAAAACAGTGATAAAGAAATCACAAGTGCTGGGGTGGCTTAAGGATGAACATCCCTGGTTTGGTAACCTCACTCTGTGCCCGGGAGTCCTGCCACCTTCAGCAAGGCGCAGGCAATCCCTCCCCGGTGTTCTTGACTGTAAAATGGGGATAGTGAGTAACCCTTAGGGGTATGGAGAGGCCCACGTGAGCTGATGCATGCGATGTGCATTGCTGGCATAGAGGCTGGGACAGAGGCTGGCACAGAGAGAGTATCCATTGCACTGTAACACTAGCTTATTCCCCATCCACTCCTTCCCCTGTTACTGCTTCCCAGGGCATCCTTCCAAGGTTGCTTTATGAATATGCAAATACATGCAACAGGTGTCCCTCTTTTCTCTCTTTTTACCCCAAAGTTTACATGTCCCACACGGGAGTCAGCAGATTTTTCTCCATACAAGGCCAGCTAGTAAATAGTTTAGGCTCTGAACAGCAGATGGTTTCTGCGATTCCTCAGCTCTGAGGGAAAGCAGCCTCTGACAACGAGGGCGGCTGTGTTCCAATTAACTTTGTGGAAACTTAAGTTTGATTTTCTTTTTTTTCCTTTATTTAATTTTTATTTAATTTTATTTTTTATTGTTAAAGTATTACACATAGTAGTACATATATCTCCTCCCCCCCCATTGCCCTTTCCCCAGCCTCCTTAAGTTTGATTTTCATATCACTTTCTCATGTCATGAAATATCCTTCTTCTTCTTTTGATTTTTTTCAACCATTTAAAAATGTACAAAAATGACTGCTGTTTCACTGTCTGTACAAACACAGGGAGAGGGCCAGATCCGGGGCTGTTCTTCCGCTTTTCAAAGCGTCTCGGAGACCTTCCCTACGATGTAGAGGGGCTGCTGCTCTCTGTTTTGAGGGCGGATGACTCCATCCTGTGGATGTAGCCTAGCTGTTTGACCAATCCCCTAGGGCAGGGCACTTCAGTTGTTTCTATTCTTTACAAAATATTGTTATTACAAAATAGCGCTGTTATGGATAATCTCGCCCATCCACCGTTTTTGACATTTACAAGTGTCTTGGGTCAGATTCCCCTGGAGGTGCAGCTGGGAAACGGATTCTAGTGCTTTATTGGGGGGAGAGCAAAGGGAGGAGGGGAAGCAGAATGGGTTGGTGGAAGTATCACACAATCTCACTCACATGTGGAATTTAATGAACAAAACAAACAGATGAGCAAACTGGATCCAGAGACATAGAAGCATGGAACAGTCTGTCGAATCTCAGAGGGAAGGCATGGGTGGATGGGTGGGAAGAGATTAACCAAAGAATTTATATGCATATATGCATAACCCATGGACACAGACAATAGTGTGGCGAAGGCCTAGGACGGGGCTGGGGGTGGGCTAGAAGGGATCAATGGGTGGAGAAAAGGGGGTATCTGTAATACTTTCAACAATAAAGTTAAATTTAAAAAAAAAGAAAAGAAAAGAATGGGCAGGTGGGAAGAGCCACGTGAGAACTGGTCCTGGAGAAATCAAGCCAAGGCCTGGTTAAGGGTGGAGCATGAGGAGTGGTCCCACCTTGAGGCAAGAGGGTGGAGCTTTGGAGCTTCTGGTTCAAGCAGTCATTGGCTTAGTGGTCACGATAGTGGGCAGAGCCTGTCAAGTGGCTGCCATCAGCCTAGAGCAGGACTCAGAAGAAGCCAATGGGGACCTGGGCTGGGCACCTGCAGCGTCCACCACAGCAGGTTTATCTGCAGCGCAGTCTCAGAGGTGGAACTGGAGGGGCAAAGCATAGGTGCACTGTGCTGGGGGTAGACTTTACCCAATTGCTGTCCATAGGGCTGTACCAATTTACATCCTTACCAACAACATCCGAGAGTGCCTGTGACGGCATAATCTATGATCTCATCGAATTAGTTTATTATTAAACTTTGGGATTTTTGCTAATCGGATGGGTTACAGAATGCCATCTCAGAGTCGTTTCCATTTGCACATCTCTTAGAATGAGAAAGATTGAGCACATTTTCATGCGTTTAGGAAAACTTGTGTTTTTTTCTGTGAGCTGTTCATATTCCTTTGCTGATTTTTCCTTTCGGACTATTGGTCTGTCTTTTTTCTTTGTAAGAGCTCTTTATATTTTATGGAAATTGGTCTTTTATTATACGCTAGAGGCCCAGCGCGCAAAATTGCACGAGATCCCAGACCCGCCACACTGGTGGGACCTCAGACCAGCCAACCTGCTGCGCCGTGAGACCCATCAATGCACCTCCTGGTGACCAGTCATTTGGTCGTTACAGCCACTAGCCTTTTATAATATAGACAAGTTGCACATATTTTTCTCATTTTGTCATTTTACTTCGTTTAAGCTGGTTTTGGCCAAACCTAGTGTTTTGATCATAGGGGTTGTTTGGACAAGTAGATAATATATTATGTAAAGCACATAGCATGCACCAGGCCACTGCCTGATAGGCACTGCATAGGTGTTATCTCCCTTCCCTCCTCTCTCCTCAATTCTGTGCTTTATCTAACTGTGTTCATTATTCTTCCTTAAATATGGCTCATGCTTCCCACCTCCATACATTTTCTTATGTTATTTTTCTTACCTGGAATGTCTTGCTCCTCACTTTTGACTGTAAAATTCCTAACCGTCTCTTGAATGGGTAGTTCAAATGTCAGTCTTTCTTGCCTCTGAATTCCTACACCTCTGTTAGCCATCCTAGTCCACCATGGATCCTTATTTACATACATTTGCTGTGCATTTCCTGAGCTTCAGTTATCTTATCTATAAAATGGAGTTGCTGGGAGAAATAGAGATTTATTTTCATTACAAAAGGATGCATGTTTTCTATAAAAAATTTTACAGAAAAAATTCCACAGATATAAAAACATATAAAGTTTAGAACAGTAGTTAGACATACATAGGCACCCTCATTCCCCAGAGGCAGCCACTGTCACAGGTCCTTCCAGACCTTTCCAATGCCTGTGTAAATGGTTTTAGGGGGAGAGAGGGAGAAGTTTTCTTAAAACACAAAACCAGAAGCATACTCTCCATATTATTCTGCAACTTACTTTCTTTTTTTAAAAAAAAATATATTTTATTGATTTTTTACAGAGAGGAAGGGAGAGGGATAGAGAGTTAGAGACATCAATGAGAGAGAAACATCGATCAGCTGCCTTCTGCACACTCCCCACTGGGCATGTGCCTGAAACCAAGGTACATGCCCTTGACCGGAATTGAACCCGGGACCCTTGAGTCCGCAGGCCGACGCTCTATCCACTGAGCCAAACCAGTTAGGGCTGCAACTTACTTTCTTTTATTTAATAAAATAACACAAATAAGATGATGCACTGAATCAGTGCTCAATGAATGGTAGCTATAACTGTCCTATCCACCTTGCAGTGATTTTTTAAATGTTCTTTTGGCACAGGCCGACGCTTACCAAGCAAAATCGCATATGAAAGCCCATTTATAAATGAGATAGGGTGGAGCTGCCAGTGAGGATGAAGGTGGCCGGGGGGAGGGCACAGAGCCCCTTACCCATTTGTTTTCCCATTGCCGTTTGAACACCTAAGAGTGTTGGGCAGGGTGTAGGCACATCACATTTAACTAAGTGACATCATTATGGGGATGTACTGTCCAGGCAAGCTGGTGGTTACCCTGCTGGTCTTCAGCTGGCCCTTAAGGGATTTGAGCTCAGGAATCTTGGGGCCATTAGTGTGGAGTTCCAATGAGAGAAACATGTGACAGCATGTTAAGTGAAAAATCTACAGGTGATGACAATAGTTTAAGAACATAGACGAGCAAAGGTTGAAAGGAAATATGCAAAATTATTTGCTCTCTTGGGGTGGGGGTGATCAATTCATTTTTTCTCCTTGAATATTGCTGTTATATTATTTTTGCAATAAAACAAATGAAAGGGATATTCTAAGTTCTGCCCCTGAATCAACCTGTGAATGTGTATATGTTGGGCACCCACGCCACAGGTAATGTGCTAGAAAGGTTGCATTAAGAAGTAGCAGAGGGCTGGCGTGGCTCAACGGTTGAGCATCAACCTGTGAACCAAGAGGTCACGGTTTGATTCCACGTCAAGGGCACATACCTCACTTGCAGGTTCCCCAGCCCTGGTGGGAGTATTTGGGAGGCAACCAATCGATGTGTCTCTCTCACATCGATGTTTCTCTCTCTCTTTCTCCCCCTCCTCCTTCCCTTCCACTCTCTCTAGAATCAATGGAAGAAATATCCTCAGATGAGGATTTAAAAAAAAAAAAAAAAGGAAAAACAGAAAAGGGCAGAGGGCCCTGGCCAGGTGGCTCAGTTGGTTGGAATGCTGTTCCATACATCAATCCCCGGTCAGGGCATGTCTCTCTCTCTCTCTCTCTCTCTCTCTCTCTCAGTCAATCAATAAAAACATCCTTGAGTCGGGGTAAAGAAAAAAAAAAAGAAGTGGCAGCGGGTAGGCACAGATCTTGGTTTGGGGCAGGGGCTGGTCCATAGCGTCTCACAGACTCAGAATGTTAGAGCTACACGGGACCGGTCTAACACCTTCATTTTGCAGTCAAGGGAACTGAGGCCCAGAGAGGCTGAGTAACTTGCCCAGAATGCTCAGCCAAAGCCTGGCTTTTCCACATTTGGGTAGGCACTCCCACTGACCCAGCTGGCTGGCCTTAGCGCAGTCCTCTGCCAGGGCACCTTCATTTTCTTGGCAGCCAAAGAGAGAGCACTCTTCTGGTGCAGGTGGGGGTGGGCAACCCTGTGTAAACCCCTGCGCCTCGGTTGTCTCCACAGGAGCCTGAGTGAGCTCAGCCAGCCCCGCCCCTCCCAGCCGCGCGTGGGGCTGTCCCGGACCGTCAGACTTTACCCGGCCACCTCAGCCAATGGCCAGCTGACGTCCAATGCCCTGCCCGCGGGACCAGGCCTTGAGCGGAGGGATGGTGCCCAGCAGGCAGCATACCTGGACCACCCGTCATCCCCCTGGGGTAAGGATGCCCTCTCTTGGGGCCCTGGAAGAGCAGGGCATCTCAATCTTTGGTTTTCTTCTCCCTGTCTTGCTTCTCTCCTCCATTCTCACTGAAGGGCTGAGTTGTCACCTGTCCCTCATCCTCTCAGCCAGTCAACAAACAATTATCCAGTGCCAGGTCCCGGGGGGTCCCAAACCAACTGATCGGGGCTTTGTCCCTTTGAGACCCTTAGACTTGGGTTGCTCCATCTCTGCCCCATCTGTCACCTGTCCTGCTTGCACTTCCTTCATGTCGGGCTCTGAACCTCATCTCCCTGGCCTGGCCCTGCCAACTCATCCTTCCTACAAACCTCCTGGACCAACCCAACCAGTTGCTTCCTGAGCACCCAGGACTGGTCCTCTGCTTCCCAGAGGAGACAACCGGCGGCCCCTGTGGATTCACGCCTCTGTACATGCTCGGTCACCACCCAACAAGCCTTCCCTGTGTGCCTGGGCGCCCTCCCGTTCCCCAGAGCAGCGACTCCAACTGCTCACACTTTCCCAGGTCCCAGCCCTTAGGCACATGGACATGCCTGCCCCTCCCGGAGAGTGCCCGCTTCCTCCCTTCCTGCCCCACCACCAGCACAGTGTCCCCTTCACCTCAACCCCTGGCCATGCTGACTTCATTTCTTTTTTGTTCCATTTTGAAAATTGAGGTATAATTCACATAACGTTACATTTTAAAGTGTACACGTCAGTGGCTTTCAGTCTATCCACAATTGGATGCAACTGCCACTGTTAACTAATTCTCAAACATTGTCATCCGTCTAAAAAACAACAACCCAAATCCTTCATAGGCATTAAGCAGTCACTCCC